GCAAACGCTGCTGTCATAGCAACTCGTAGACGTATTACACACACAAAGACTCGTAGCAACTCACAGACGTATTACACCCACAGAGACTCATTGCAAGGCGAACCAGTGCCCTCCTCAGGCGGCCCAACCCTCACGCCGGGCGGCTCTCCTCTGATCACTTGTTTTGCGGTTTTTACCCCTCGGGGGCCGCCTCCCGTCCCCACCCCCCGCCCCACTCGATGACCCAGGAGCCCCACGGCATTCAAAGTGCAAGCACCGGCCCGGTGCCGTGGGTGAGCAACCTGCACCCCACTCCCTCCCTCCCAGACACAACCCGCACAACCCCCACAGCGTGGACGACTGCGTGTTCAGAAACACCAAGCAGCGAGGCGAGGGTGAAGGGGTAGGGGGCTGTGTGGGGCAGAATCTTCATCCGGCTTATCTGTGACTACTCCATCATGGGTGATGCTCTGATAAACCCTCCGGATCTTCGACAAAGGTCGGATATTTCTTTTTTCAAAGTGCAAGGTGTGAATAAGAGGTTTATGATAGGGCTACTACGACGAACTATGCGGCAATCGACTGGGCGCCTGGCGCCCGACCACCCCGAGGCTAAGTGTAGAGCGACCCTCTAGCCCTACTACCCAACCATTGCCCTAACGCCTAAGCCCTAACTGTGCCCACAGTCCACGACAGAGGGTGAGAGAGAGAGATTATTAGACATACCAAAAACTCTAACACTCACACGTCATTTGGAGTTTTGTTTGAGGGTGCGAGGCGCCCTGCAGCCTGCAGCCGCCGCACGGCCTCGCCCCGCTCCTAGTTGAGCGCCACGTTGCGCAGGCGCGGGCCGAGGTCGTCGGCGCCCTGCACCGCGCCCTTGAGCAGCTCCTTGTCGAGGCACTTTGAGAGGATCTCGTACGAAGACTCGTCGTCCACCGCGCAGCGCGAGGGCGACGTCTCGTCCACAGAGTACTTGAGCCGGTCCAGGTAGAAGCGCATCGCCCCTGCGGCAGAGGCGGGGCGGGCTGGTTCGGGCGGTGGTGTAGGTGAGGGCGGCGGTGAGGGCTGTTCAGCATGACAGCGGGCGCTAGGGCGGTGGCTGTCAGAGCGCGGCGGCGGCGGCGGCGGCGGGGGGGGGGGGGGGGGGGATTCCCATCCCCCCCTCTTTGTTCTTGAAGACGGGCAGCATCATGAACTGCATCTTGTGCTTTTTGGCGAGGAGCTCGAGGAGCTGCATCACAAATTTGCCGAGCCCCTTGCCGCGGTACTCTTCGGCCCCGAAGAAGAACGGGCCTCCAGCGGGAGGGGGGTGCCAAAGGGTGCGAAAGGTGGGCCCGTGGGGGCGGGAAAGCGGGGGATGCCTGGACCTCTCTCGGAGGTGTCCCCCCCCCGCCGTGAGCTGCAACTCCTAAACATAAAGGACGGGGCCCTCCCCCTCGAGGATTCCGCGGTACATGCAAAAGCCCGCGGGGGATGGGGGGGCGTCCTCCTGTCCGCTCGGCCCCAGGATGAGGAA